GGGGCATACACACTCACACATGCACCTTGCATTGCCCTGCAGGACATGGTGAACACAACACATTTACGTCAGGCTCATCTCTTTGTTGAGGAAACTGAGTCCTGGAGAAGCAAAAGGGCTTTGAATACCTGCCTGCTGGTTGATTGTATCCCAGCTTTTTCCAGAGAAGGTAACAGATGGACAGGCCAGATGCCCCAGCCCCCCAGCCAGCCTCAGAGCAGGGCCTGTCGTGGCCCAGCATCCCAAGGCAGAATGCAGGCACCCACAGGCAGCACCTGGAAGAGGCCCCAGGCAGGGCACCAGCCCACTTCCAGAGGGGTCTGGCTGAACCAAGGGCCATGGTGGATGCTGAGTTGTGTCTGACCTGGGGCAGGAACAAGTAAGTCAGAGCCCAGATGGGTCTACGGGGTGGGGATGGGCCAAAACAGGGGGCACCAGAGCTGTGCTGGGAACGGGGCAGGCAAGAGGGTGGGGAGCGCAGAATGAGGACACAGACAGAGGTGCCTTCTGCCCTCAGGTGAGGATCTCACCAGCCCCAGGGCAGCATGCAGAGGCAGGGCACGTCCTACAGAACTTCGTAGAATATTTCAGAGTTACAGAGGGACAGCACGGAAAGGCATTAGAAAGCAGCCACCCACTCCCCATGTAACATAGACAAGGCCCAAGAGAGGGACAGGATGTGCCCAGGTCACACATGGCAGGTAGCCAGGGCATCACTTCCCAGGAATTCTCTTCCCCTTGACCAGGAGCCCCAGGCCTTCTCCCAGCCTGAACACTGCTCCATCTGGGCCCTGGGGCCCCAGTAGGCTCTCCTGGCCTGGCTCCCACTCTGTCTCTCCCACTCCCAGGAGAATGGAAGGATGCCCAGCTGGGGTCTGTCATCTGAGGAGGAACGGAGGCCTGCTGTCTTGAGAACACCTCCAACGACAGACCATTGAACCTTCAGCCACCGCCCCCTGCAGGGTGTCCACCTGTTCAGCCTAGCCAAGGTGACGGCAGGAGAGAGGGAAGGGAGTTTGGAAAGAAGAAATTATTCTTGAAGCATGACAAGTGTGAGCACATCAAGGGGGCCCGGGTACTCGTGGGCAGATCTGCTTATCCCAGGGATGGAGACAGATCAGCCCCGTGGCTAGTGGAGGGGTTCCTTAGACCGCACACCTGAAGGAGACTTCCCGAGGATTGTGTGCTCATGGCCACAGGTCCTGTAAGACCGCAGTCAGCCTTGACTGCAGACACACCTACTTCGCCCACTGCTGCCAGTGTGCAACAGAACACAACAAAATACCTTGAAATCCTCGGGAAACGAGTTTTCAGTAAGTCCACACTGCACTCAGCGACTCATTTCACAAAGGTTTATTGGGCCTGTCCCGGGTGCCAGGTTCATGGTAGTCACTGCATAGGGTCCCAGCTGGGGAGAAGCAGGGCCTGAGCAGCAGGGGCACAGAAACCAATGGTGAAACACACCCCTGCCGGGGCTGTAGCAGCAGAGGGAGGCTGACGTCCGGCTGAGAGCACAGGAGGGCACACGAGGCTCAGCTCCTTCTGGAAGGTGGGGCAGGCTGGGCCCTGGTGGAGATGAAGGTGGTGGAGCAGGAGGAATGAGAGTAGCCAGGCAGAGGGCAGAGGGAATGGCATGAGTGACGGCTCAGAGGCCGGACAGTGCCCGGGAATTCCCAGAGCATCAGGAGGTCGGCAGAGGGGGAGAAAGCAAAGGGTGTGTGCCCAAGAAGGGCTGAGGTCCCAGGCAGCCAGGTCACAGTGGTGCTGGGCAGGGGCACAGACAGACAGCACACACCCACAGCTCTCCAGGTTTGCCAGGGGGCAGCTGGCCCCTCCCCTCCCCACAGCCTCAGGAGGCACCCCTGCAGGGCAGCCCAACCCCCATGGGAAGTCTCAGCATCAGCCTCCCCTGGCGATGGGAGCTGCTCCACTGGGAAGCAGACAGAGGCTGTGCCCCTGCACACCCACCCACCCAGCCCCACACAGGGCAGTGGGGAAAGGGGCCAGAGCCTGGGCAAGCCCCGCATGGGGATGCAGCCCCATGAGTACGGTGGAGGAAGCCAGGAGGAAGCCAGGAGGCTCCCCAACCACCCCCCGCTGAGCCAGGGCCCTGGCCGCTGCCCCTCCCCCTGCCCCAAGTTGCTTCCAGACACGGAATGGACCCAGTTAACTTGTGCTTCCTTTCCTTTCCCCTGCCCGCCCCCTGCTGGAGCTGTGAGGGGTCAGGCAGGAGGGGGGCAGGCATAGCCAGGCCCAGGGGCATGAGGAACAGCCCCAGCTCCACTCTGGTCCTCCCAGGGCTAAGCCAGCAGGCCCACCAATGCCTAGCCTCCGGGCAAGGTCTGGCATTCCCCCAAGTCCCAGGTGGGTCTTGGCCTTGGACCAGCGCTTTGACCGCTGACCCCTGGGACAGGTCAGGATAGGATGGGCAGCTGGGAGGAAGCACCAGGTCTAAGTGAGCTGGGCTCTGCTGGGGTGGAGGACCCAGGGGCTGCTTGGGGAGGAGAAGGGGCTTAGGAGAGGGAGAAGGTCAGGGAGGAGGGAGATGGTGGTGGCGGGAGGGTCACCAAGCTGGGGCCTGCGTCCTGGAGGCCAGTTCACACCAGGACTTTGGCTCTGTCCTTACCTGCACAAGGGACTGTGGGACCCAAAGGGGCCTGAGAGCCTTGTCTGATGTTCTGGAATCCTGAGGTGTGGGGTGCAACCTGTTGGCCCAAGTATCAGAAGCAGGTTCCCCAGGGCAGATGGGGACAAGCGTGGCTGTTGGGCCTCGGCAGGGCCAGGTTGGGTGCAGCTGCTTCTGCTGGGCAGGCTGGTGGAGGGACCAGAGGGGCCGGTCTTACAGCCCTCCCAGACCACCCCTCCCACACACACCCCACCTCCACTGCCACCACCATCACCCCAGATCCCAGGTTGCAGCAAAGTTCCCAGCTCAAGGTGGCTTTTTGATTTTCTGAGACTAACTATAAAGGGGTGGCGAGGCCTGCGCCATGGCCCTGTCCCAGCTCCTGTGTGGGTCGGGACAGGGCACACAGGTCCTATAGACTGGTACCCCGCAAAAATCAAGGAATCAGGGCTTGAAAGTTCAACAAAAGCTGGGTCCCCACGTTGCCCCTGCCCAGGAGGGGTGACCACAAGCCCCCAAGCCTCCTCTCAGAGACATGCCAAGTAGGAGGCTTCTCTCCCCACCACCTAACCTCCAAAAAAGAGGCAAGGCAACCATTTGCTAACTCAGAGGTGCCCTGTGGGACCCCTGCCCTGCCATGTTTGGCTCAGGGAAAATTCCTGAACCCACGGGAATATCCTTACCCAGGATGGGGCGGGGCAGCGTGGGAGCCTAAGAGCCCGGGGCTCCGGCTGGCTTTCCTCTGGGTGGGGAGTTCCTGGGCTGTGCAGCCCCCGACGCCCCCGCCCCCGGCATCACAGCAATCGCGTGGCTGGGAGAGAGAAAAGAGGATACCTTCCTGCGTCCCCAGCCCCCTAAATCCCTCCTCTCATTTTCTACTCTCTTCGGGGTCTTGACCTGCTGAAGCCACGGGACCAGAAGCGAGCTTAGTGAGCAGAAGCTCCCGCCAGGGCCGCGAAAACCGGAGAGGAGAACCTCCACCCACGGCGGGCACCTACTCGCGCGCCCGCTGGGGACTGGGTTCTGGTTGGGGGCTTCTTGCCCTAAGGTTGATTCCTGCGGACTTGTTTATTCGTCTCCGGGGCAGCAGAGAGCGATTTGCCCTCGCCTTACCCACCCAGCGAGCCGCCCCCTCGGCCCGCGGCGCGAGCGCCGGCGCTGTCCCGTGAAGAAGTTAGGTTGCTGGCCTCCACGGCGGGCGGCGCACGGGAACCGCCACCCGGGACAAGTCCCCACCACCACGAGGGCATCCCGGGCAGCTTGACTACGCAGACGGGGGACAAATCACTCGCCACTGGGCCCAGGCCGCCCCGGAGGGCAACGCAGACCGTGGTGAAGCGGAACTTGCTCCTGGCTTCGGCTTCGGGGACCCCAGGTAAACTCACTTCCCCGCCCGCCGCCCCCGAGCTCCAGCCGCCGGTCCCGCGCAGCACTCAGCTAGGAATCCGAAGGTGTCAGACGCGGCGGCAGGGCCGACCAGGGCCCCCACGGACTCGGGGAGTTGGCCCGCACCCCTAAAAGCCTCAGCGCACATTCCCGGTTGAAAGCGCGCACTTGATGCGTCCGGGCGCCTCCGCAGTGAGTCGACTGCAGCGCTCGGGGTCGGCGAAGGTAGCTCAGCTCGGGCGCTCCAGTCTCGACGTTCCCCGGGCAGAGAGCAACGTCCGGGGACGCACGGGACGGGTGCGCCCGGCGGCCGGGGCTGAGCCGGGCGAGGCAGGCGGCGAGAGGGGAGCGCTCCGGCGTTCAGGCAACAGCTACCCCTAGTGGGAGAGCCGCCCGGGGCCGCCGCGCCCCGCGCCCCGCGCCCCGCGCCCGCGGCGCCCCTTACCCGAAGCGCTCGCGGGCTTGGCTGGGACGCAGAGACGGCGCTGCTCTCCCCAGCCCTCCCAGCCTCCGGGGCCGGGCGCTAACCGCCCGCCGGCCCTGCCCTCCGCACCTCCCGCTGCGCCCCGGAGGCCGCTGACCCGAGCACCGCGGCGCCGAACACGGACGAGATGGGACGGGGCGGGCGCGGCCCGGGCGGCGCGGGCTGGGCCGGTACGCGGCGGCCTCGAACAGCTGCTGGGGGCGCAAAGCGCGGTGTGCGTGGCGGGGCGGTGCGGGGGGCGGCCGTGTGCGAGGCGCGAGTGTGAGCGCGCGCGGGAGGCGAGCGGGCAGGCGGGCTCCGGGAAGAGAGCGGCGCCCGCGGGCGAACCGGGAAGGCGGCGGGGGCCCAAAGTTGCCTCCGCGCCGACCCGCGTCCCCGGCGGGGCGGGAGCCGGGGTCAGTGAAGCGGCGGCCGCGGACCCGGGCTCCCGCGGCACCTGGGCAGCGGCCCCGCACGAGCAGCAGCGGCGGGGGCGGCGTTGGCGGCGGCGCGCGGGAAGCTAACCGGAGCTCCGGCTCCGCGCGGCGGCCGCCGGGGAGCTCCGCTCAGGTGCGCGGCGAGAGGGGCGCGGGCCGGGACCAGGCGGCGGGCTCAGGGCTGCACGCGCGCAGCGGCAGGATCTCCGCTGCGGACGCCTGGGTCCCGGGGCCAGCAACGCGTCCGAGGCTGCAGCAGCGGCCGCGGTCCCCCGCCCCCGAGAGCTGGCCTCGCGGCTGGGCCCCGCCCCCCCGACCCCGGGCCCGGCCGCCCCTCCCTCCGGCCGCAGGCACCCGCCCTCGGCCTGCGATTTCTAAGGCATTGGCCGCGCCGCGGGGCGATCCCTCCGGGCTCAAGTTGCAAGGGGGCGTGCCGGGGCCGGAGGTGGAGTCTCCCGCCAATACAAGCCTCGGCTATAAATCGAGCTTCCCGCACGACCGAAACGCAGATGCCTCGCCAGGCCGCCCGGCCCAGCGTGGCGGGAGAAGGCAGCGGGTCCCGGGGGGCTTCGGGGGCCGCAGCCACCATGCTCCGCTCCCTGCTGCTTCACTCCCTGAGGCTGTGCGCCCAGACCGCCTCGTGCCTCGTGCTCTTCCCGCGCTTCCTCGGCACGGCCTTCATGCTCTGGCTGCTCGACTTCTTGTGCATCCGCAAGCATCTCCTGGGTCGCGGCCACCGGGGGCAGCCCGAACCTGAAGTGGAGCTCACCGGTGATGGCGAGGAGGTTCCTCCCGACGACCCGCCCGTCTGCGTGTCCGACGACAACCGCCTGTGCACCCTGGCGTCGCTGAAGGCCGTGTGGCACGGCCAGAAGTTGGATTTCTTCAAGCAGGCGCATGAGGGCGGTCCCGCACCCAACTCCGAAGTGGTCCTGCCCGAGGGCTTCCGGAGCCAGCACATCCTTGACTACGCGCGAGGAACCCGCCCACTGGTGCTCAATTTTGGCAGCTGCACCTGACCACCGTTCATGGCGCGAATGAGCGCCTTCCAGCGCCTGGTTACCAAGTACCAGCACGACGTCGACTTCCTCATTATCTACATTGAGGAAGCGCACCCCTCCGATGGCTGGGTGACCACAGACTCCCCTTACAGCATCCCGCAGCACAGAAACCTGGAGGACCGGGTCATCGCAGCACGGGTACTGCAGCAAGGTGCACCCAGCTGCTCTCTCGTCCTAGACACCATGGCCAACTCCAGCAGCTCGGCCTATGGCGCCTACTTCGAGCGCCTCTACGTTGTCCAGAGTGGCACCATTATGTACCAGGGCGGCCGTGGCCCCGACGGCTATCAGGTCTCCGAGCTGCGTTTCTGGCTGGAGCGCTATGATGAGCAACTGCGCAGCGCACAGCCCCGTCGAGTGTAAATAACCAACAAACGATTGACTGAACTTGACAGCCATGCCTTCGAATCTTTGAAGACCACGTGCAAATGTCCCAAAGGAAGTCAGGCTGGCAAAGGCCCAATGACACAGCTGTGCTGAGCCACAGGTGACAGGCTGAGTCTGTGCCCTCTCAGCCAAACCACTTGAAGACTTTCCCCTTCCTCCCAGGACCCTGCTTCTGTGACCGTCCCTCTCGTGTACCTGTGTGGCTGGCTTCAAGTCCCTTTCTGAATGTGGATGGGGCACCACCCTTGCCTGTGTGCCCCTGGACTTGTCCCTACAGAACCCCTGCCATGCTGTCACACACACACACACACACACCCTTTCAGTCAGGCATGGCAGCCTGGGCAGAGACTTTGGCCAAGCCTGCCCTCCTGAGCGCAGCTGGGCTCCAAGGGCATTTTAGACTTCCCCTAGTTGCCTGGCACCCACACCTGTCGCTCACCAGGAGGGGACGCCCTGCTGCTTTTGTGTCTATTTCTTGTCCCTGAGTTGAGGGAGAAACCTTGGGGTGGGGAAGAGTGAGCAGGGTTGTTTCCCCGCATTTTTGGGTGTTCACGAGCCCCACTGCTGATGACGAACAGTCTCTAACTGGTCTTGACCACGAGCTGGTTCTGAATTGCAGGGGCTTGCAGCGGCGCCTAAAACGAGAGGGGGAAAGGGCTCTGAGTGTCTGTGAGGGAACAAGTGTAACTGGGGAGGGAGAGGGAGGTTTGGGGACGGTTTCCTAACCAGAGAAAACGGTTTGAGAGCCATTGGCCGGGTTCGCAGCTCCCCCAGATAGAAGGATGAGGCTGGAGCTCCTGGGAAACGGGGGGTAGGGGGCTGGAGAGCGGGACGGGATATTGAGTGATGGAGTCCGGGGGCAGGGAAATGGGGGAGAGCCCGGAGATGCTGAGTAAGGGGCCTCTAGGCAGAGCTGCCGCTTGTGGGGCCGGGAGGTGTGGGACCCCTGATTCAAAGGTGAGTGTTTTGCTGGAAATACTCCCTGTATATGAACTTCAGTTACGCTGCGTTAATAAAGGTTGGAAGTAAACTGCTCTCGGGTTGCCTTTGGTCCCTCTATTTTTTCATGATTCTGAATAGAGGCAGGAATTAAACACAACCCTCTCCCTCGCGTCCCCATAGTGACCCGGGGGGAAGGGTGGCTGGAAGGAGCTGACGCTGGCAGGAATGGCGGGAGTGCAAAGAGGGAGCCGTACACATGCGGGCACCCACGCGGCGTAGGGAACGTGGGGTCGGAAGAGGAGCGCAGAAGCCGAGCGCGGCGGACTCCTGGTGGGGGGGGGGGCAGGAGAAACCGGGGGCCCTCACAAGCAGCTGCGCGCGCAGGCATACAAACCCAGGGACAGCCCCCCTGCAGCCGCGCGTCTAACTTCTCCCAGCGTTCGGCCAGGTGGGGGAGGGGGCGGGACGGGACACGAGGGGGCGTTGCACCAGGCAGGGCTGGGCTCCCCGCTGCGGCGCCCCTGCACACCTGGCTCCTCCCTAGCCCCCTTTCCGCACCCGGAATGTCTTCCCCTCCACCCGCCAATCCCCGCCTGACTGCTGGGGTCCTCGGGAGGCGCGACCGGTAAAGCGCACGGCAGCGGATGGATGGCAGGCACGCAGCGCCATCACTCCAGCAGCAGGTCCTACAGCCGGGCGGAGTCGGTGCAGAGGGCGCCCCCCGGCCCCGGACACCCCCTCCTCCTGCCGCTCCCCTGCCTCCCCGAGTCACAGCCACCACCGTCGCCACCACCCACACCCACACCCACACCCACCACCACCACACGCCCGGGGCCCGGAAGCCGAGAAGAGCAGCCAGGTGGGGGAGCAGAGAGACGACAGAAAGGGGGCCGGCCGGTGCCGGGAGGGGAGGGGGCCTTGGCGTTTGGCGCCGATCCCCGCCGACAGTCCCGGCCGGCGCTGCCGCGCGTCCCCGCCCTCCCTCTCTCTCCTGCCGCTCCCCGAGTGAGGACGACGCCAGGATCACCCGGCGAGCGCTGTCCTCACCACCTCCCTCTGCTAGTGACACCTCGAGCAGAAATGTGGGTGGCGGGAGGCAGAGGGAAGGGCGCGGAGGCGGAGGTCCGCGGACTGCAAGTCGGGGTGGGGGGGTGCGGGGGAGTGGGGCAGCCGAACCTCCCTGGCCCGGGGACCCGGGACCGTCCGGGTCACCGAGTGGCACTCGCGTGCGTTTCGGGGAGCGCCTGGGTGCGCGCGCTCACGAGGGCTCCGCGGGAGGCCGGGAGGGGGGGTGGAGCAGCAGGCGGGGTGGTCGGAGGGGCCCCTGCCGCACCACCCGCTCTCGCGGCCCGGCCCCTCGCCGCCCCGCTCTGAAAACTTTTTAGGACTGACTCCCTGAGCTGGGATTTTATTCTTTTCTTTTTTTCTCCTTGCTCTATAACTATTTAAATTGAAAAATAACTTATGGGAAAATTTGCACAGATGGTATTTCTGCGTCTGCTCCCCCCGACCTGGCGCTACTTGTCACCCTGAGAGCCCCCGCCCCCCACCCCACCCCTGGGAAGGACGCGGAGCAGCAGGGACCGCACCGACCCCGGTGCGGGCTCGGTGGCCCTCGGGAAGCTGCCGGCCCAGCCCCCCGGGGAGCCCCACGCGGTGCTTCGGCCGCTCCGGTGCTGGCACGCCGCGGGAGGCCCGGTGGGACGTGCAGAGCGGCCGCTCTCCCCGCGGAGTCCGCGCCCTTGGGCCTCCCGCACACGACCCGCGGCGCTCCGCCTGGGTCCGCGCCCCCCGCCGCGGCCTCCGCGCCAGGTGGTTCCTTCTCTCCCCCCTCTCGCCCTTCTTCCCTTCATCTCTGTTTCTTTCTCTTCCTTTTCCCTCCTTGTTTCTTCCTTTCTTCTTTTTCTTTCTCTTTTCCTTTAAACTCTTTCCTTCTATTAAAATAATGGGTGTTCATCGAGCCATAAGCGAGAAAAGTCCAGAGAATAAACCATCTCAAAGTGACCTCCAGGTGTGTGCACTTTCAAACACCTCCCCTCACTCATGAATAGATGTTTTAAAAAAACAAGAGCAGGACAATCCTTTTGCAGCCTGACACTAACTTTGGTTTCCTGGCACCCCTCTTTCCTTGCCCCCCCTCTTTCCCTGCCCCCCTCTTCCCACGCAGTAATCTAGAATGGCGCCCCTGCCACACTGCCAAATAAATGGCCGGGGAAGGCTCCACCGGTGCCCCAGGTGTGAGGGGTCTCATTATTATAAACAAAGTCGGGCTGAGCATCCCGTGCACAGAGCCCCTCCCCCTTACCCACCTCCACACCCCCAGCACGTTTCTTAAAGTGAAATTCCTGAGTCAGAATACATGCACCTCTATAAACATGTCTATTTTGCCCTATTTTGTTAAACTGCTTTCCAGAAGTCTATTTGATTTTTTGAGCCTTGTATTTTCCGAATGCCCTCTCTTGTCTTTATTTCTAAGTGAAACATATGAAGATAGCACATAATCTATTCCCAACACTACATTGTAAATATAGAAGAATATAGAGCAGAAAGGGCAAGCTTTGCTTAGAGCAGGAATTTTCAAACTGCAAGTCAAGACTGGGGTCATGAAATGCACTGATCATATCAAGTCAAGCATTGGGAAGGACTGAAATAGAACAAATACTATGTAAATACCAGCACACATATATGAATAAGTATTGTTTCTTGAAGCATGTGCTTGGGGTCAGGGGAGATGTCTGGATATCAGATGGCTGATGTGAAGTGTATTTCTCCTCAGGGAGGGATCAAGAATGTTTGGAATGTCAGAAAGCTACCACAGAAGAGTCCCCATCCTTCCCTCATCCAGGAGAGCCCCTGTGAACTGTGGGTGTTTCCTTCCAGGCTTGACTTCACCTCTTGACATTCGTATATGAGCACATTCCCAGATGCAGCTTCCAGAGTGAGGCTCGCGCTGCACATGTTTGATGGTCACCCCCACCCACCACACAGACCTTGCTCGTACCATTCCCCATCCCAGCACCCTTCACCCATCCATACACCCAGGCCATGCAGGTCTGTGCCTGCAGACATCGGATGTCTGAGTCCCCACTCCCAGCCCAGGAGGAACTCATTTCTGCCCTCAAGGAGTGCTTGGCTCAGTGGGGAGGATGGGTGAGGAAGCCATCCTTCTCACTGTCACCATCACCAGCCTTGTCATTAATTGGTATTTTGAAGGTCCACCATCGGGTTAGTACTCGGTTTAGCCTTAAGCAGGGAGAGGGGGAGGAGCATTAACAGAGTTTATAGAGAAGGCCTTATTTGCAGCTTGACCACACAGGTGCCTCTCCAGGAAGTCATGGAGGGAAAGGCATCCTTCGTGGGGGGCACAGCCAGAGCAAAGCCATGGGGGCCTGAAAGGACAAGTTGTGTTCAGAAAGCAGTGAGCCCCCAGCATGGCTACAAAGCAGGAGGTGGTGAGCGGGAGGAGGAGAAGCAGAGAGGTGAGTGGGGCCCGCTGGGGTCCTTGGGCAAGCCCCAGGCGTCTGCTGAGCTTCTGTCATGTGAGCTGCAGACAGAACAACAGAGCAGTCAGAGGGAGAGGGAGAGGGTTCAGATGCCTGGAGCGGTGGGTGGACTCCACATCCATCTGCCACTGACCGACAGGTGGGTGCTTTCAGTGGGCAGACAGGCATCTCTGCCTTTCACCCAGCTACTATTCTCTAGTTTTCCACCTGAAAGAAATAAACTATTGGGCAAAGATAAAGGCAGATACCAAAAGACCATGGCCTCCCCTTCATATTTTCCATACTTTACAGCTGCAAAGAAGTAATGCTCCAATCCATGGGAACTTCCCACACATGCAGCAGTAAGAAATGACACCTGAGAGTTTGCTCGGGGCCAGGCACTGAGCAGAGGGCTTTATTGGGATTGTTTGCCACTAGATGAAGGAAATCATTACCCCGTTTCATTGATGAAGAAACTGAGGCTTGGCATGGTCAGAGTAAACTGGGATGAGTGTTATGGGCTGAACTGCATCCTCCTCCAGAATTCATATATGGCTGTCCTAACTCCTGGTACATCCAAATGTGACCTTATTTGGAGATAGGATCTTTAAAGAGATGCTTAAGTTAGGATGAGATCACTAGGGTGGCCCTGATGCAATCTGACTGGTGTCCATAATAAGAAGAGGACATCAGGAGAGACACACACAGAGACATCCATGAGAAGACGCAGGGGAAGATGGCCATCAGCAAACCAGAGAGAGAGGCTTCTGGAGAACCAGCCCTGCTGACGCCTTGATCTCAGACTTGCCTCCAGGACTGTAAGGAAATAATTTTCTGTTGTTTAAGCCCCTGTCTTGTCAGTGGGTTTCAGCCCTGAGCAAGTTCACCATGGTTTCAGTGTGACCAAAGAAATGACAGTAGAACGTTCTTGGGGTGAAAGGGTTATACCCAACTTTATTTCCACAGTGGCAGGTCAGTCACTAAAATCCCATCCACTCAGAGCGAGTCTGCACGCAGTAAGCCAGGCTCTGACTCTGGGCCTCTCTGCCCGCACAGCCTGTCCTCGGCGCTGCCACCACTCCAGCCACTGCTCTGCTCTCCTGCAGCCCTGCAGCCGTGCCCCCATGTCGCCAGAGTACTGGGCAGAGTTCTTTATATAGAGTTAATAACGTCGTATTGCCCACACCTGCGTAGTGAGCTAACCGACCAGGACCAGGTGAGAATCCTGGCCACAGGAACTTCCACTTTATCCACACCGGGCCCCTCCAAGATTCTCCCCTCTCAATCTATGTGCCCTCAGTCCTCTGCAATGGTCCCTGTGCAAGAAAGTTGGAGCATTGTAACCAAATCCCATACTAACAACAGAGGCTACAACAATATACAAATAACAAAAATTACAGCAAATTATAAAGCCCTCAAACCTGAGGAGATCCATTGCCACCAAGTGGTCATCCTGGCTGTATTCAAACCAATTCTACTCAAAGGAGTTAACCAAAAGGACCGAGGGTGGGCCTTACAGTGCCCACCTTCTCCAGCCTCTCCAGCAGAAAGTCTTGCAGACACACAGGCCGATCTTGTTGCTTCATCTCTGCCTCTGCTTCGTCCTCAGCC